GCATGTGGTGCTGGGGGATTGAACCGCGGTCCCTGTACTTTGCTAAGCTTGTTCTAAGTAGGTGCTTTAGACCACTGAGCCATCTCACCAGCCCTTTGGTTGGTTCTTATACGTATCACAGTGACCAGCCATTTCTAGGAGACAGAAGCAACCAGAACTGCAAAAGGAACTGTCACCTGGGCAACTCCAGTTCCAGGAACAGGGCTTTCGGCTCATGTCCTAAAACTCTGTGATTGACAGGCCACGCCCGCTTGCCCAGCCAGTTTGTTACATCCTAATCTCCTGCCTCATTTTCTTCAATTTGTATGGGATGTTAAGAATGTAGAGATCTCCATCTTCACATCACTACTCCCTCCTCAAAGGCACTGTAGGTCCTACCTACTAGAGATTATGTGCTCTCCATCTTGTAATGTTTGCAGTTCAACGGGTGAGTTGGAAAAAAAGCCAGTCAGAAGATAAGGAAAGCCAGGTGTGGTGGTACATGCCTGCAATCTCAGCACTCAGGAGGCTAAGGCAGGAGGATTGTTGCAAGTTCAAGACCAACCTGGGCTACAAAATGAGTTCAAGGCCAACGTGAACTGCATGGAGAAGCCCTATCTCAAAAAAATAAACAGAAAAAGAGGTGGTGTCTACATGTGAAAAACTACTGAGCTGCCTACTTGTTATACCAGTGACTTTACTATTAGGTTGGGAGTGTAAAGCCTAAATATGATAAGGAGCAGATCACATTTCTATTCTTTTTGTGGTGAAAGGATATCAGATGGGCTACCAGAGCCCTTTTATACCAAGCTCTCTTCCTTGTGAGGAGGAACCTGCAGTCTTCCTATGGTTCATAGGAGTAGCTTTCTTCGAGTGGACTTTTTCTTCAGATATCTCAGGTGGAGCTAGCTTCATTCTACAAAGGTGAATTCAAGGGACTTCCAAAATAAATGGAATGGTAAGCAACAACTCAGCCTCAAAAGGAAAAACTTGGAGGGGCTGGAGTGATAGCTCAGCGGCCTAAGCACCTGCTTGACAAGCACACTGTCCCAAGTTGAGTCCCCTGTAGCACATGCCACCTGCCCCAGAACCCTGGGCAAATATGTTGGCCCCAAAACCACGTGTGGTGGTGCACACCCATAAACCCAGCTCTGAGGAGGCTAAGACAGGAGGAGCACTACAAGTCTGAACTGCGTAGCAAGACCCTGTATATGAAAATAAATAAAATCTTGGAGGGGAGAGAAAAGAGGGGCGACCCGTGGGAAGCAGGAAGCCGATAACAGGTAAATTAAAACCTACAGAGAAATTGAAGAGACAGAACATAACACAGACAAGGGAAGGGACATGTGCATTTTCTCCCTGGCTCCTGACTCCTAGCTTATGAGAGAGACTAAATCCACAATGTGAAGGCTGGGGATGCCAGAGGGCTTCTGGGAGAAATGTGGCAGGGGAAAGGACCAACAGATGCTGTAAGCTGCAAGAAGGGTGGGATTCTGCTCCCATGTGAGTCTTTCAAAGGACAGGATCTGGTGAGTGACTCCAGTCCAAGTGCCCACCATGTCCTCTGGAGAGAGTGCTCAGTTCATTGCCATTCCAGGGAAGAACTGTTTGAACCTGGGACTGACAGCAGCCACAAAACAGCTTCCATTCAGGGCTCCCAACTACATTCCCAATATCTAGATGAGAGCCAGGCGTGGTATATAGCTGTGGTCAAGATGGAGATACTCAGGGGTTTAAGTTGAAGGATACAGACCCTCATCCCCACAGTCTGAAGCCAGGCTTAGCCAAGACTGTTGTAGTTTTGAAAGTTGTAACACTGGCACCCTTACCCTAATCCTGTCTGGTGGATCCTGCATCTAGCACCTTGTGAGGTCTGACTTGTTCTTCTTTTGAAACAGGATCTCATTATGTAGCCCAGGCTGGCCTTGCACTCACTGACATATTCCACATATTCCGCTCTCAGCCACCATAGTGCTAGGATTACAGGCATGTGCCATCACACCCGGCCTGACTTCCTTTTTTACCTACCAGTGTGTGCAGGGACACATTTTGACTTCACATACTGCCCCAAAACTGCAAAGCCCAGAACAAAACCACACATCATAAATCACAGAAAAATTTGTTTGGCTGGTTTTTAGAGGTTTCTCGCTTCTGTCTTTTATGAGTATGCACATTGTTTTTAGTTTTATTTGTTTTGGTTTTTCATTCTTTAAGTTTATCAGGACTTGAGGAATTTCCTATTGTCTTTCTTTTTATCTTATCCATTTTTCTTAACTTTTTTTTATTGGTTTATTTTTTCCCTTTTAATTTTTCTCTCTTTAAGCTTTCCCCCTTATTTCAATATTTCTTTTTTCTTTTTCTTCTACCTTCTATTTTTCATCAGTTTTTTTCTCTAACCTTTACCTAATTCTGTAAACATTCTAGCTCCCCAGTTAGATCCTTTGTACAACTTCTTTCCTCAGTCTCATACTATGGTTTAAAATTTAAGCTGAATGTGGTAGCCACACACCTGGAATCGCAGCACTGGAGAAACTGAGGCAGCAGGATCACTGTGAGTTCAAGACCAGCCTCAGCTTCATAGTGAACTCAAGGCCAGCCTGAATTACACTGTGAGACCCTGTTTCAAAAAATAAAATAAAATGTAATTTTTTTCCTCTTAAGATTTCCTCATTCCCAGCCTTATATCTTTAATAGTATAACCATAAAGCAATTTTAAACTTTTGATAGTTAACTTAGTAAAATTACTGCTGAAGTATTTTCTATTAGCAGAGATATAGCTGTCACATTAACACATATTACTGTAAGTTAATAACTGGGTTGTCTTCATATTTACACCACTATTGATGTCTTCCCTAGGTCATGGGTGTGCATAAATGGTTCTTATTCAGTTAATATCCAATTTGTAGTCAGGCATGGTAGTGCATGCCTGTAACCCCTACACTCAATAGGCAGAAAAGCCCTCAGTTCAAGGACTTGAAATACATATTGAGTTCAAGAACTGCCTGAACTACATAGTAAAACCCTGTCTCAAACTACAATTTGTAATCCTAGCACTCTGGAGACTGTGGCAAGAGAACTGCTGGGAGTTCAAGGTCAACCTGATTACATACTGAGTTCAGTGCCAGCCTGAATTGCATAGCAAGATCTTGCCTCCCCCACCAAAAATTAAAAAGGAGCAAGGTCATCTATATGTGCTAATATGGAAAGATGTCCATGATATTTATAAGAAAAGCAAGTCGCAGAAGAGTACATGAATCCCATTTGTATGCGAAAATTTAGGAACATACATCTGTATAAACAGGAAGTTTTGAAAACTGATAATAGTAGTTAACTGCTGGAGAGTAGAAATGAGAAAACTGCCAGAAATGTGCAAAAGAAAACTTACTTTGCTCTTTGCTTTCATAGTTTACTGTTTTAGTTCTCTAAACCAATGATACTCAAATTTATATTGTATATTACAATATAAAAAGCAATAAAGTCCAACCAAGTAAACACCACTTAGATTCCTATTAGAGAAATTCACTTTTCACTATTTTATTGCTCTCTCCCTTCCTATTTTTAGAGACAGTCTTTGGCTACGTAGTTGCAATCAGTACTTGCAATGAAATTTTAAAAAGAAAAAGACGTGGCCAGGAAGATAGCTCAGCGGCATAGGCGCCTGCCTGGCAAGCATAAAGTCCTAAGTTTGATGCCCAGAACTAAAAATGAGAGAGAAGGCGAGATTTCTTTTGCTTACCCCCTCAGGCACTAGGGATCTAGCCCAAGGTCTCACTCCTCACCTACTAGACAAACTCTCCACCACTGAGCTACACCAGCTTTTTGCTTTGTTTTTAGAGCGGGTCTCGATTATGCCACACAGGCTGGCCGTGAACTCCTGGGCTCCAGTAATCCTCTTGGTAAATGTTCAAATCCCATATGCACTCACACACAAACGTCTTTTCACTTGCGTGTGGTACTTACTGAATGCATTGCCTTTTAAGTGTTATCTGGATGAAGTATGCAGGGCTACTTCTCAGATTAACATTTCTATTCGTTTCCGTACACTCCATTGGTACAGAGAAATTTAAAAATAGCCTAGCATTTCAGCTGTGCGAACTTAGACTCGTCACGTGGTTGTTTTGAGCTGTGGCTTCCTTCAGGGCAGAAAGTGTTTCATGCCCCGGGCTTGCTGTCCGCGGAGGCCTCTCCCGGCCGGCTACCGAGCAGGGGCAGAGCCCGGCGCGGCGCCCTCGGGACAGCGGAGGGCTCCCTGCGACAGCGGCCCGCGCCGGCGCGCCCCCAGCGCCCCTCTCGAGCACGCGGCGCCGGCCTCTCGGCTCGGCCCTACCCCGAGGCTGCCCCGCGCGGCAGAACTCAAGTCCACTCTCGGTTCCCGTCGGCCATGGGCGGGTTTGACTCGGCACAGGAGGCGGCCTCGCCCACAACCGCGGCTGTTTGAATTCTGGCGCCACTCCCACGCCACGTAGGGCTGGCTGGCCTGCCACACTGCGAGGCAACGCGGCGCGCCTGCGAGCGCGCGCACCGGAGACGAACGGGCACGCGGCCGGCGGGCAGTGCGCGCGCCACGCCCCGGGACGGCCCCAGGGGAAAAGAGACGCCGCGCACGCTTCTGCCCTTTCACTTCATGGACGGGCCACGCCCCCACCCTCTCATGCGTCCAATAGAAGAAAGAGGGCGGGGCAGCCTCGCTCTGACTCAGAAGAAGCTATATAAGGAGCTGCAGTGGGCCGTGCTCGCTCTTTTACGTCGGGAACCTTGCGTGAGCTCTTTTTGTTCTGTGCTACGTGAGTGGTTTTGCGTGGGTGGGATCGAAGAGAGAAATGGTGGCTTGGCTCAGGAGGAGGTTCGAGCCTCAGTGCTGGGAACGTGGGACCCAAATTTGAGCCCAGAATGCTGCTGAGAAGGTGCATGTAGCAGACAGACACGTGCTATGAGCTGCAGTCTGGGGAGGCTGAGGGTGCCCCGTGCGGCCAGCGGCGCTGAAGTTTACTGCTGGCGGGAGAGCTACGCTAACGTTTAGGGATTTGGCGTGGGAGGTTAGCTCAAGAGCGACAAGCATTTGTATACACAGAAAATATCATTTATCTGTCGCCAGGTTATTTCAGTAGGGACAGCCTTGACCCTGTATCGGGTTCGAAGCTGTTTTATTTTCGGGCGACGAGCTGCGTGATTCGAATTAACAAATGGGAGGGGATTAGTGCTGATTAGTCGCATTCTGACATGGTTAATTTCAAACATCGCTGCCCCGCAGGAGCAATGGCGTCGTTTTGCAGAGGTATATCGGAATGTTCACGTGCAAATGCCAAGGTAAAAAATTTTAAGTTTTTCAAGCGGAAGGCGTAAACATGTTTACGGAAATAAAGAAGTGCGTCATTTGAAACTTGCTTGTTTTTAATAGTTGAATGAGAAAATTCCAAAGCGTCTGCCAGAAGCTTTAGTGGGAAAATACGTACTCAAAACTTGACAGTTACACCAGGTTTGTATTAGACCTAGTGTTAATGATTAAGCATATGTTCAATTTGAAAGTAGACTAAAGGAAATTTTTATCGTTGAAACAGTGTCTCGGGTGTTGATGCAGTGAAGCTGTAGATGTCTCTGGCCAGCCGTTTTGTTTTAACGTAAGTTGTGTGGCTTAGAGCTTCACAGTAGTACTTGGGGTGGAACCCAGGGTGTGGCAGAATTGGTCTAATCAGTGATGAAACCTATCCCGAAGCTGATTACCTGAAGAAAAACATGCACGGATTCGGCTTCTGAGATGAGACCAAGATTTGTAGATGAAATAATAAACGTAGATTTTTATGATAGTCCTGTTTATAACTCAAAATGTTTGCTGTTTTTCAGGCAATAATGAGCATTACCATGTGCCCAGAAGCCACCTTGGTGGGAGTTGCCTGAGTGGATCAATTTCTGTGAGTAGAGTTTGGGTTTTTTTGTTTTGTTTTTGGTATATTTTGTCCTTGGTCTTATCTATGATGATCCTATCCCGAACCTGAATTTCTGTTGAAAAATCTACATTTACGGATCTGGCTTCTGAGAATGGACCATTACAGGGACAAAATTTTTCAAGTACTGTTAGATCGGAGCAGTTTGTAATTGTTGTGTTTTTCCTTTTCTAGGGCTAGTGCCATAATTTTTCTGTTGCATGAAAAGCTGATGAGAACAACCGGGAAAATTTGAAGAAAACAACTTTGAAAATTGGGATTGTATTGATTTTTCTTTCTCTTTATATTGGAAATTAGCACTACAGACCCTAGACAAATAGTTTATAGATCATGAAATAGCATCCATTTCTTTAAATGGGGAGTTCTGGGCTCTTAGCCTTTGTGGAGAATGACTGGATCTCAGAATTGCCCGGACTGGGGTCAAACTTTCATCTTGTCACAGCCTGTCAAAGTGTAACTGAAAGTTCCACCAAACAATGGGACAGCATTTTGTAAAGCTGGCCCAGTTTGGTCACTCAGTGACTACATTAGTCATGGAATATTGAAACCTAATATAAAATTTCTGAATGGATTTAATACATGAAATTTTATCAATCTGGTGTCCTGTCTTATTTATATGTATATGTTACAGTGTTTATCAGAGTGTTTCCTGAAATAGTCATTGGTTATGTACTGTAATTCCTTGTCCCAACACCTTTCCCTACCCCTATTTTATGAGAAATGTGGGTTTGAGCTTAGGTTGTACCATAATTTTTTGTGTATGTTTTTGAGACCAGGTGTTGCTGTGTAATCCAGACTGGTGAACTGCCTCAGACTGCAAAGTGCTGGGATTATAAGCATGTGCTGCCATGCCCTACTTGTCTTTCACTTAGAATTTCATTAAACATAAGGTCAGTGGCTCCCATCCATGTTACAAATAGCAAGCAAGGTGTTAATCGTTTTCATTCTGCCTTAGTCTGTTAACCTGTTTTGATGTACACCTCCACTGGTTCCATTTTTGTCTCCTGTGAAAACTGCTGTAAGCAGACATGTTTGCTTAACATCCATACCTTACCAGTGCTTGGTTGGTTCTAATTTCTGGAGGATCCCCCGCCATCTGAGTTTTTCCTATCACAGCCAGATGGTGATGTTTGTCTTTGGGGTAACATCCCTTCATACATCCCTTCTAATTGAAGCGCTAGCTAGCTTTGATTTGCATTTCCCTGGCAATTATGGCTGAGGAGTATTACATGTACTTAACTGGTTGAGTGTCTTGAGAAAAAGTAACTGGGGGCTCCTCCCATCTTGTTTGGATTTCTTTTTTTTAAGGTTTCAACCTCGGCATCCTTACAGTTTTGGCTGGCCTCAAACTTAAAATGATCCTCCTGCCTCAGCTACCTGAGTTCTGGAGCTGCAGGTGTGAGTCACTATACCCAGCCAGATTTTGTTCTTAGATTTCCCTGACTGCTAGGATGGTAAGCATGGCTTACTGCCTACCTACCCACTACACACACACACACCCCCTCCCAGTTTGGATGGCCTTTCTCTTGCCTGATCTGCCTTGGACTAGCAAAAATGGTTAAAGTATTAATTCCTATTTTTAAAGAAGAGATTGAAAAATAAAGATTGGAACTCACATTTAAACGTTAGGTGATAGTTGCATAAAAACCTGTAGTTGGGGCTTCTGTTAAAAGTCACGCCTCTGTCAAGAACAGTTGGTGAGAAGGTCTAACATGGGGCTTTACAAATATTTGATCATTTGGAATTGTTTAGAGGGCCTTGCAGTTGTATGATTAAAGAACATACTTTGTTTAAAAAAAAAAATAAAATTTTTATTTATTTAAAAAAAAAAAAAGTCCTGCCTCTGGCTTGTTGAGGTATTTCCATACCTTCAAATGTGGAGTTTAATTGACCTCTAGTTTCCTGAGACTGAATAAGGAATTTGAGGCATTTTTAGCTTTTTGTATGTGCATGTGTGCTGGGGATTGAACTGAGGGACACCTATGTGGCACAGCACGTAACTGATAAATCACATTTAAAAAAGCCTAAGCCTGAGGTATCTAAATAGGGTCATTTGTAGGAAGCCAGCTAAATGTGGATTCCCAAGCTGGTTGAGGCTCCTATGGGATTGCTTTGTAGGAAACAAAAGTTATATACAAGGATGGGCTTTAAAAAATGGAAAGTCATACTGAGCATAGTGTTGCACACGGTAGGCTGATGCAGGAGGGTGGCCCTGAGTTCAAGGCCAGCCTGAAGTATACAGTAATACTCTATAAAGTTATCTCAAAAAAGAAGAAAAATGGTAATCTCAGCACTCAGGAAACTGAGGCAGGATTACTTGAAGTTCAGGCCCAGACAGAACTACCTAGTTTGAGGCAGCCCTAAAGTACATTGCATGACCCTCAAAAAATGTAAAGCTTGTTTGTCTAACATTTGACTTGTCTAGACTACATTGAGTATAACGGGTCAAATACTGTCAGCAGTCACTGACAAGCACGTAACATTGGATACCCATGAGACTGATGGTGGGTAGAGGTGGTTGGCACCACGCTGTACCCTTTCTTACAATCTGGTTGCCCATGCCATGCATGTTGGAACATACTCAAGTTATGAAGAATCTAGCTTCAGATTTATGAGGCTGCGTTAACTATTTAGGGGCACATGTAGCCCACAAGCCATGGTTTGATTCACCTGAAAATAAGAGTATCTTAAAATTTCAAATAGGACAAGGAAACCTGGAAAGTGACCCAACCCTGGCTCAAAAATAAAAGTGTTTGGGGGGGGGGGTGCTGGGGAGATTAGCTTAGTAGAATAAGCTCTTGCCTGGTAAGCACAAGAACCTGAGTTCAATCCCCAGTTCCACCAAAAAATAAGAATGTGTTCAGGCCTTGAACCAAATAAAATTGGTCTAAACTGTATATTGTAGCCAAGTGCAACTGTAGACTGCCAGTCAGACCGGAGGGTTGCTTGATTCCAGTTCAGGAACCAGCCTGGGCCACAGCATGAGCCAGTTGCTTTCGAAATGAACCAAGTCAGGCATGAGAGAACATGCCTTTGTAATACCAGCTTTTAGGCAGTCTGCAATACATAATGAACCCACGTCTCAAAATACGCTTAATAGAAACTAGGCTTATTTTCCAGAGTCTCATTGTGTAGTTTAGGCTGTACTTGAGCTCGTAGTCTTGGCTAGTTTCAAACTTGAGAGTGATTTTCTCAGCCTTCCAAGTGCTGGGATTATAAATACACACCACCATGCTTGCTTTAAATATTAGAATTTCTTGCTGGGCATGTTGTCACATGCATGCAATCCCAACACTCAGAGGCAGAGGGAGGATCACTGAGTTTGAAGCCAGCCTACACTACTATATAATGCTTGTCTGAAGAAAAACAAAAAGTTTATCCTAGCAAGATAGCACAGCCCTGAGGCAGGAGAACAGCCATCAAACTTGAGGCAGGAGAACAGGCATGAGTTCAAGACCAGCCTGGCCTATATAGTAAGGGTCTGTCTCAAAAAAAGAAAATCTAAACTTAAACTTTAAAGGCAAAACTATTTTTTTCGTTAGTATATCTCAAGGTGCCCAGAGCAAAGCTGGACACTTGTACAGTAAATGGTAGACACAAAACTGAAGAAAATGCCTTTACCCTTTTGTCAAAGCTGGCCAATACTTAAAAATAAGCCAGTATTGTGAAATAGTTCGCTTTGGAGTCCTCTGACCTCTATGCAGTTCTGTTTTCATTCCCTTGTCTCCCAGTGGATACTTTAATGTGTCACATTTGCTAAGTTGATATAATCCAAAGAGTACTGTGCGTTCTTTTTGTGCCTTACACCATACCAGTTTGTCAGGGAGGTCACAGTGAAACACTTCCTCTATTTTATCTATGTCAGTTGTGGTACAAGATGCCAAGAAAAATGAGAGAAAAATAAAACAAAAGGCACAAAACAAGAGAAATACTTTCAGAGAGGATTAAGCAGATTTGAGCTGAGATCAACTCAGATATGGAGTAGGTGAGATTAGCCATAAGAATGAGCAAGGGCCAGGGATATAGCTCAGCAGCACAGCACCTGCCTGGCTAGCACGAGGTCCTGAGTTCAATTTCCGGTTTAAAAAAAAAAAAATGAGTAAGCAAAAACAGGAGGGGTGATGAGCAGGTATACTATGGTCAAGGAGTTGAGAGTGATAAATTTGAAGGATTTGGGTACAAATAGGGTGAACCAAAATGAAAGACGGCTGAAATGTTCCGGGCTAACATGGAGAAAAATTCCCTTTTTAAGGCTTAATGAGGAAGGTAATTACAAGTGTTATAAAAGGCTATTTTTGTAATCACAATTTCGGTAAAACTTGTTATACAATAGGAAGACATCAGAAATTAGTTTTCATTGACTGGAGGATATGTATCTGAACAAGTGATGAGAATCAAATCCACTAAAATAAGACTAAACTGCGCATGGTGGCACAAGTCTGTAATCCCACTATTCAGAAGGCTGAGTGAGGAGGATCACCAGTAATTTAAGACCAGCATGGACTATATAGCAAGACCTTGTCTCAGAGAAACAAAACAAACTAGACAGTTCAACATTTATAATTAAGAGCCAGGGAGATGGCTCAGTGGAATAAGCGCTTCCCTGGCAAGCACAAGGGCCTGAGTTCAATACCCAGTTCTGCCAAAAAAAAAAAAAGACATTTTATAATTAAATTGAACTACTAATTCAAACCTCTTAACATATACCTGGATGGCATTTTTTTTTTTTTAGCAAGCTTGAGAATTTTATTAGACTCTACTTGTCTTCTAATTTACAAACATTAGCTGGCTAAAACCTTTGGTTACAAAAATGGCCAATGCTAAGATTGGAGACCTTGTTAGCTTAATAAAGAATTTATTCTCCAGAACATATCTGATACTTGAGCAGCCACCTCACCAGACTCAAAAGCCGGTAAGGCCTACGGAAACTTGACTACTATATAATAGATATGCTTGGTTCAGACTGGTCTTAGAATTTATGTCTGCCTTTAGTAACTTTAGTCATAAACATCGTTTTTCCTTGGCTTTACAGCAGGCTTCCAGATAAAATATAGTAGGCTCAAACATACAATTTGGTGTTTTCTAAAATTAGTTCTACTGCCAGAAGTCCAAAATCCACTGCACTTTCCTTCCCAGTGCAGTGTCCTCCGAACTGATTAACACTCCTGACAGTCTTCGTTGTTTCTCATCCAGTGTGTGTGGAAGAGCTTTTGGTGATTTTAATGACCTTTTCATCAGTTTCCCAGTTAACATTAGTCCTTGAATCTGTTTGCTAGGATAGCCTGCTTATCTTTTGCCAGTCAAGCGCATATCCTACTGAGCCATCTCCC